TGGCCGGCCGCTCCTCGCAGCTGACGGTGGAGACGGCCGACGTACCGCTGGGCTCCTACGCCATGGACGTGGAGGTCTATCACTACCGCGGGCGCCGCAAATTCATCCCCATCGGCAGGGCCACGTCCCAGTTCAGCATCACAGGTGAGGCCAGGTCCAGGGCATGTCTGAGCCTCGGCCCCAGGGCACTTGGTCCCCCTGGGCTCCATTCCCCCCCCTTCCGCCACCATCTCCTGCCTATCTGTGGCCACAGCCTCATGCCAGGGCTTGTCGGGGATTTGGCTCACCCCTGCCCCAGGGCAGCTCCCTGGACAGGATTGGGGGGAGGGGAGGGGAGGATGTTTGGGGCCTGGAGCCAGGTGAGCTCCTGGACCTGGGCACCTGGGCAGCCCCCCCGGGGTGTGGGGCCATTGGTCTGTGGGGGCAGGAGGCCCTGGGTCTGTGGGTGCTCAGGGGGTCTGAGTCTATCTGGGGTGTAGGGCCCTGGGACTGTGGGGACACAGAGGGGCCCTGGCTCTATGGGGGCATGGGACCCCAGGACTATGGTGCAGGGGGTCCATGGGTCCATGGGATATGGGGACCCAGGACTGGAGGCTCAAGGGGGCCCTGGGTCTATGGGGGTGCAGGGCCCCAGGACTAGGGGTGCAGGATCCCCAGCACAAAGACCTGGAAGCTCCCTGACCCCCCAGACCAGGTGCCCTTCGCCGTGGACATCACCCAGATGCTGGACGTGGACGTGGGCGACCGGCGCTTCGTGCGGAACCGGGCCGTGGCCTTCAGCGTGCGGCTGGAGGCTCAAGGGGGCCCTGGGTCTATGGGGGTGCAGGGCCCCAGGACTAGGGGTGCAGGATCCCCAGCACAAAGACCTGGAAGCTCCCTGACCCCCCAGACCAGGTGCCCTTCGCCGTGGACATCACCCAGATGCTGGACGTGGACGTGGGCGACCGGCGCTTCGTGCGGAACCGGGCCGTGGCCTTCAGCGTGCGGCTGCACGACCCCAGCCGCTACCTGCAGGGCGCCGACGGCCCCT